GCCCCCCGTCGGTCCAAACCCTGACTGTGCGACGGCTCCAGTCGGGCGAGGAAGCGGGGCGTCCTCTCGCAGGGCCTCCGGAAGGGCCCAAGACGGCATCAGAGAGGCCCTCGACTGCCCAAATATGGCCTCGCGATGGCTGCACGAGACTCCCAAGACGGCCAAGAGGGCGAGCCCCCAGACGGCGCACGAGGGCCCCGAGACAGCCCAAAGTGGTCTGTCCTTCTTTTTCGCTGTGTTTGCGTGGGGCTCGAGGTGTGTGGCCCCTGCTCCTGACTACCTTTCCCTCGGGCTCCCATGTGTGCCGTCCATGTTTTGGTGCGTCTTATCGTCCTGCGTGGTCTCCAACTCCCTGCGCTGCTCTTTATAGCCAGATTGCTACAGTCGTGCGGCTGCGGTGGCTCCACCTTTCTCGCACTCTGTCGTCGGTGTTTGTGGTATCATGTTGCAGTGTGTGGGCGCGTGGGTGGGGCTCGCACCTGTTGGCCTCCATGCGCCGACTTCAAGTCGGGATCTTGGCTGTCCCACATCGTCCGGCTATGGCTAGGGGTCACTGTGCCCTCGGTGGGGGAGCGAACCCCAGGCCTGGTGCTGTTGTGGTCGTGGTGGGGTTGACCGCGCTTGCTCTCTGCTCCGCCATGTCGGCGCACGGGTGAGCTCCTCCTCCGTCGTGGGGATGGTGGGGGTGGCGAGCTAGGGCGGACCGCGGGGGCGCGCGTAGTGGCCGTCCTTCCCCCCCCTGCCCCTCACCATCCCCCTGGCGGGCGCGAGCAATACTCGCCCTGCCCCCCCGCCCTTCGAGCCGCCTCGAAGCTTGATCCTTGCCTCACCAGAGCAGCGTGGACTTATGACGTTGTGTTGGTAGGCTGTCTTAGGATTGCTGGTGATGCTTGGTCGTAGGTTCTTGGCGGCCGTTGAGGTCGTCTGTAGTCTGGGTTGCTGGTGGCCGCTAACGTGTGCGTGTGCAAGCACCGCGTGTTTCTGTGCTGCTAGACGTGGCGACTTGTGCCTGGGCGTTCCCTCGCATTCGGGGCTTCCCCAGGACTTGCGTCCTAGCGCCTCCAGCAACACGTGGCAACGCTGCCTGAGGTGTTCCCACGCACTCGGGGCTTCCTCAGGACTTGCGTCCTAACGCCGTTAGGATAGTTGTCGGAGCGGTGTGCGCATTGGTTCACGGGCGTGTGTGGTGCTGTATCTGGCTGCGAGGATTGGTGCACGTAGTGCGACTGGCGTCGTTGGATCGCAGCCGTGGTGCTGTCGGTCTGGTGGGCATAGTGTCGTGTTGTAGGACTTGGTGGATGTTGGTTGGACGTGTTGATGGCAGGATGTTTGTATGGTCCTGTTGTTGTAGGTCTGGTAGCTGGAATTGTTGGGGATGATGGGGGGGGTGCAGTGTGTAGAGAGTTCGGCCGCATGTGCGCGTGCGTGTGCCATTCTGCGCGGCCTGTGTCTGCGCCTGTTAGCGCCCTCGGGGTCCCCACTCCCTGTGGCAGTCGTGGCCCCGCTCTGCAGTCTCTGCGTAGTAATCAGTCGTCCATGGCCCACGGTGCACTGTCGTCTGCTAGCTGTCCCCACCTAGCCGCGAAAACCACCGCCATGGCTCTGCACAGTTTCGACGGGTATGATTTTAGTGGTGCCGTCTTCCATCCACCTATGTCATCACGTCCGTAAGCTCGGCCGTGTCCGTTGTGAGCACATGCCTGCCCTCCGGGAACTGACCGTAGCTCTTGTCGCAATTCGCATAGATGTGCTGCGAGTAGGCATGTTGGTTTCTGCGCTGTCTGTCCGAACTGGCGCTGGTCGAAGTAGTGGAGTTCCACGCTTCGTTTTTCCAATGGCCACTTGGTCTCTGCTCTGTGCCAGCTGCTCGGTGCTTGCGGGCACCAGGTGGCAGGTGCTGGATGCTCGAGTATGGCTGACACTTCGAACTGCAGACCCGCCGTGATGAGTACGATGGCCGTTATGTAGAGGTCGCTGCCCAGTGCAAGCTGTTGTAGTTATGTCTGGCTGGCTGCCTGTGTGCCCCACGGGTGTTCGTGGGTTCCGAGGGGTCGCGGTGCTCTTCCCTCGAGGGCGTGCCACCTGGAGGAACACCACGTCTCACAGGGTTGTCCAGCCAGGATGCCGGAGATCTTGCCAGACCTTATAGCGTTGACCCAGAAAGCCAGCGCGTCCTGCTTGGTGAGGTCGCCCTTGACGGGGTCGACCTGCACGTCGATGAAGAGCACCACCAGGTTGCAGCAGGCTGCGTGCATCTCGAAGTGGTGCTGGAAGTCCTCCACCCGCCTTCTTCCCGAGAAAACGTACAGCAGTAACATGGTCGTCGTAACCAACGGTCTGGATATATAGAACGGTGTAGGTACTGGTGCCTCGGGCTCGATGCTCGCGGCTTCTGGTGGAAATGGTGATCTCGGCAACTGGTCTTGGTCGATAAGGTCAGCAAGCTTCAGGCGCAGAACTTGTTGGACTGGTACGAGTGCTTTTGTCGCCCCATGCCACTGTGCCTTTCTCACGGCCGTTCCTCTTCTCGTCGATCAGCTGCTTCGTCTGGGTCCACCGGTATTTCTATCGCTTGTAGCACCGCGAGGCATTGGGGACATCTCCTGAGGTGCTTCAGGATGCGCGACCTTGTCCTGAAATCTTTATCGCACCCAGGGCAAGTAATGGACCTGGCGAGGCGCTCAGCTAGGTCGTGGCCAACGTGCTCCATAGTGATGTGCCGCTTCCACGCGCCCTTGGTCATCAGAACCCTGCCACATTCGTAACAGACGTATCCCTGGCGCTCTTCTGCTGGTCTGCCTTCGAAGGTGGGCATGGTCAGGCCGTACTGGCGGGCCAGCTGGTGTAGCTGCCGTTGCCAAGCTCGGTGTCTGTATATATCATGCTGCCACTGACGGTATCTGAACCACGCTCGCGCAATCAGTGCCTGTGCTGCATGTTCTGGCTGGCCTCGTGCCCACTCCGCGAATCCTTGAAGGTCAGCTCCGATCCCTTCGTCTTCCCGACGAACTATATTGAGCCACTCTATGTCCTCCTCTATTTGAGTATTCCATGCATTTGGGTCGCCCCACAGTTCGTCGACCAATCTGTGCAAGTACGGCGTGTCCGCATGAAGCATCTCACGAAGTAATGCAATCTCCGCCTCCGAATGGACATGTGGATCCCTCCTCCTCCTCCTCCTCCTGCTCCTGCTCCTCCTCCTCTTCCTCATCCTCCTCCTCCCTCCTCCTCCTCCCTCCCTCCTCCCCCGTCCTCCTCGTTCGAGAGGGTCGATGTCTCGCACGGCCGTTCTCTGACCTTCGTCACCTTGAGCCAGGGCGGCGATGGAGTAACGAGAGGAGCAGGATGAAGGAGTTGATTTTCGGCAACTTTACTTCATTGTCGGAGGCTTCTGGATGTCACACTTAGCAAACACAGCTGCGGAGGAGCAGGAGAAGCAGGAGGTGCAGCACAGGATGGAGTGAGGACTTGGGGGAGCGAGGAGGAGGAGGACGAGGAGGAGGAGGAGGTGAAAGAGGAGGGGATATCTTATGCGATGTTGGATGTGTTCGGAGCCTTTAGACGGCCTTTTCGCCATCCTGGCCAGACTAGGGAGGCGAAGCAGGAAAAGACGAAAAGAGGTTGGGAGAGGGAGGGCGGGAGGGGATGAGGGAGTTTGGGAGATGTTTGCAAGGAAATTCAAGGGGGTCAAGGAAATTAAAGGAGGGCCACAAGGAGAACTGATGGGTTGCAGCGGAGGAGAAGGAGGACGAGGAGCAGGAGGAGGAGGAGGAGGAGGAGGAGGGAGAGGAGGGGGAGGAGAGGGAGGAGGAGGAGGAGGGAGGAGAGGAGGAGGAGGAGGAGGAGGAGAGAGGAGGAGGAGAGAAGCGGAGGAGAAGGACGAGGAGGAGAGGAGGAGGAGGAGGAGGAGGAGGAGGAGGAGGAGGAGGGGGAGGAGGGGGAGGAGGGGGAGGAGGGGGAGGAAGGGAGGAGGGGGGAGGAGGAGGAGGAGGGGAGGAGGAAGGAGGAGGAGGAGAGAGGAGGACGAACAGGAGGAGGAGGGGGAGGGGGAGGGGGAGGAGGAGAACACCAGGAGGGGCGGAGTGAACAGCGCACGAGCGCCAGGCTGCCGCGGAGAGGCGGCGCCCGGCGGACCCGGGTGGCTCGTGAGGGCGAGGGGCGCGCGCAGCACGGGGGGGCGGGGAAGGCCTTCCTCCGTCCTCCCCTGGCCGCCCTCGCGCGCCGTCGCAGCCTCAGGTCGGGCATGTCCCCCTACGGTTAGGATGCTCCCATCGTGCTTAAGGGCCACACCCCAGAAATAAGTCCGAGCACCCGGAAAAGTGTCGAAGGGGTGTCGAAGCAGTGTCGGTGCTTTCTTGGTGCTCGAAAGTCTTTCTGGTGGTCGAGACTCAAGTAGGTTGGAGCATCATGACCCTACGGGCGGAGTTTGGACGAAAACTACAACATGGCCAACGAAAACGACTCAAAAGTAGTCAAACGTAGTCAAAGCGTCGTCCCCGGACTCTTTTTGGACATTCCTCCTGCAAGGGGGGCATGCCCGACTGAATCGTAGCTCGGCGGCGAGCCCGGGGGGGAGTGAGAAGGACGGCCACACGCAAGAGTGACCCTGGGTAAGAGTGACCTTTGGTGCGCGGCTTCTTGGGGGGGCCGCGGGGGGGTCAACGCACAAGCGCGCAGGACGCTACTATCGCATCGCGCTCGGCGATCGAAGGACCCCAGTGGGCCCGCACCAAAGGTCACTCCGGCGACAGGTCGCTCTTACGTGTGGCCGAGAAGGAGCGGGCCTCCCCAGAAGGCAGCCCCCCGGCCTCCGGAGAAGCTCCCCGCGCCTCCCCCGAAGACGCGGACGGCCTCTCCGAGGGCGCGAGGGCCTCCGACAGAAGTCCCGCCGCCTTCCGCGGGAGGCCTTCGCCTGCTCGCTTCCCCCCCGTCGCTCGCGGCCAGACTGGCCGCCCTCACGCACCGCCGCAGAGCCCCGTGAGCCGTCTGTGTCCTCGAGC